ATCTATCTATATCACTGACTCATTAGGTTTGAGGAAGAAAAATGGCGACTAAATTATTAGAGTCTACCGGCCATTGGCTACAAACTAAAAACTTAAATTTTCTGGTCTAACTGTTAAGTTATCTTTCAACCATCTTTATCCAAACGCCATCTATGCTTATTATGAAAATGACACGAAATATACAGACGGAGAAAAACCTCTGTTTTGTAATTTATGAAGATATAAGTGTTTATGTCCTAATTTTATATTATTTAAAAAGTCACTCCAACGCTTTATTGTTTGGAATAAAAAAGTAAAAATAAATAAATAAAATAAATTGTAGGATTTGAGAGTTGTTAATTGATTTTTTTTAAAGAAAAATTTACTAATATTATAAATCTTAGCTATCGGTTCGGCTTTAAGTACAGATAGTTCTTTTCATAATTTCCTTGACGCAGATGGTCACCTTTTATTTCCTTTTCCTTTGGAGGGATTAATTGCAAGCAAAAATATATTTTGACCTAAAAACAGCCTAAAAATTACTAAAAAAAGTATTTTCCTTGACGTAATTTCATTCATAAAAATTCATATTTTCCTTGACGCAGATGGTACACCTTTTATATATATTTTTTCGGAGGTGTTAATTGCGAGCAAAAATACCTTTTGACCTAAAAATTACTGAAAAAAGTATTTTCCTTGACGCAATTTCATTCATAAAAATTCATTATTTCCTTGATGTAGATGGTACACCTTTTAGATATATTTTTTCGGAGGTGTTAATTGCGAGCAAAAATATCTTTTGACCTAAAAACAGCCTAAAAATTACTAAAAAAAAGTATTTTCCTTGACGCAATTTCATTCATAAAAATTCACAATTTCCTTGACGCAGATGGTACACCTTTTATATATATTTTTTCGGAGGTGTTAATTGCGAGCAAAAATACCTTTTGACCTAAAAATTACTGAAAAAAGTATTTTCCTTGACGCAATTTCATTCATNAACTTATTTTAATAATTTATTTCTTCGCATTAAAGGAAGTTAACTTTTTAATTTATTTTATGAAATTTTGAGTCTTATATTCTTTAGGAATGTTCAAAGCTCTCGACCTCGTAAACTCTTCGAGGAAATTTTTTTCCACTTTTTTCTTTCCCCGTATTTAACTTTAATTCCATGTTAGAAATGTTTCCACGTGTAATTTTCTTGCAATGTTCTTTATTTTGCTTTTTAAGGAAATTTGAAAAATAAAGGGATTTTAATGTTTTATAAGCATTACTCATACCTCTGCACCCTCTTTTTAGCAAAAATAAGCAAATCATAAACCCTTCCCCCCATCAAGCCCACCCGAGCAATTCTATGGATGTTTTTATGAATATTAATAAAATTTTTATCTATTCCCATATAATATCTACGTATTTTAGGCCTAGATACATATTTACAAAAAAAAATTCTGACAAAAAATTAGCTTCAAATACTATATTAGACAAATATCAACGCTTCGATGGGACAAAACCGTGCATCAATAATGTCAATTAATGATGTTTGTGAAGAACTTTGGCGTCAAAAACCACAAAAATTGTGCAATAATTGTTTAATAATAATATTGTGCAATATGCCACAAAAAATTGAATTTGAAAGAATAAATAAATACTCTTAAAATTCGATTGTATATTTAGTTGGTAATCGTATTCCGAAAAATGTATATTTTTTTAAAGTTTTATTGCGAAACAAGAAGACACAAATGTGAACAATTTACTAGACAATGTCTAGTAAATCTAGTAGTCAATTATTAGACTGATGAAAAGTAATACTTTGTGAAAAAAGGGAAGAAGGGGTCGAAATATTGAAAAAAAAAATAAAACATTACTTATTGACAGCCCTAGCCTTCCCCCCTATTTTTATATAAAAAAAAAACTTTTTTTATTTTTACTAAATTTACTTTTAATTAAAAAAGGAATATTTACCGTTCAAAACCTAAAAAAAAACAGCTACTTTTATCAATATCTAAAAACAGCCTAATGTTTACGTAATGAGGAAACTAAGTTCATTAAAAACTCATTAGCGTATAGCAAAAATGCTGTTATAATTAACTTCAGAAAAAGAAAATAATTTACAGAAGATTGCTAGATACTATATATATTTTTCAGATTTTTTTATGGCTTTGGTTTTAATGCTGACGGGGCAATGTAGATCCAATTATTTGCAGAGCAAAAACATTATCACATTTAGCAAATATATGTTTTAGATAAAGAGGGAGAAAAAAAAATTCAAACCTTTATTAAGTTTATATCTGAAATTCTAACGGTTGTACGGGATATGACGTCATTTATTGATAACGCTTACGCAGGTAAACGCAGATGGTAGAAGCTTCCTGTGAATATTAATTTTTTTTTGCATAACGAACGATATTGCGGTGAAAGTTTTGAAGGATGTAAATTTAAGCATAAAACGATAAATTTTATAAAATAAAATTCCATAGTTTTAAAAAATGTGTACACGTAATCTTAACAACAATAAAGCATAAAACGATAATTTTTATGAAATAAAATTCCATAATTTTTAAAAATGTGTACACATAATCTTAACAGTAATAAAGCATAAAACGATAATTTTTATAAAATAAAGTTCCATAGTTTTTAAAAATGTGTACACGTAATCTTAACAGTAATGAAGCATAAAACGATAATTTTTATAAAATAAAATTCCATAGTTTTTAAAAATGTGTACACGTAATCTTAACAGTAATAAAGACAGTTTTCATATCAATTAAAATAAAAATTGAATAAAAATCAAGCTACCGAGAATTTAATTTTATTTTCATAAAATTATGAAAGTTTTAATAATAAATTAATCAGATAATCAACAATCGTATAACGTTCAGTTTTGCGATTATTGATGATCAAGTGCATATTATTGAATTAGATGATCAAGTGCATAGATCTAAACGTTAAATTAATATTATTAGTATTTACAAATACTTCAGTTTATTAGCATGAATCAAATTTTAATTAGAATATAAATATTGGCTTATCTATATTTATTAGTTAATAAACGTTTTAACTCAGATTATTAACAAGGAATAAAAGTTTAATTAGAATATTAGCAACCTCAATTTAATTAATAAATATAAGTTCATTAACTTGAATGTAACTCAATAATTAGTGCTAAAATATAATTAAATTATTAAAAATTTCTAAAATGTAATTTAATTATGATCACAACTTTAACACTCATTCGACGTTATCTAAATGTTGAATTAAATTACAAACTATTACCAACACTTAGATTACTTTGAGAGTTTAAACGCTTAATTAAGTTATTAGTAATAAATAAACACTTTTTCGATTATAAAAATTATAATTAAATGTTTTGTATTATTATGATTTGAAGTTAGTTAAATGAGTAACAATGACATTTAATTAGATGTCTTAACAATAAATTAGCAACTAACTATAATTGTAATAATATAACTTTCTAAAAATATATTGACTAAATTGTGTAATAATCTAAGGATGGCAATGACTAAACGCTTAAATTTTAAAATTGATGATTAAATTTTTTATTACGACTAGCAATGATTAAACATTTAATTATACAATTAGAAAAAACTGCTTTAACGTCAGCGATGACTAAACACTTAATTAGATGTCTAAGAATAAGTTAACAACTAACTATAACTGGAATGTAATAATATAACTTTCTAAAAATACTTTGACTAAATTCTGTAATAATCTAATGACATTGGCAATGACTAAATGCTTAAATTGTAAAATTTATGACTAAATTTTTTATTACGACTAGCAATGACTGAACATTTAAACAATTAGAAAAAACTATTTTAACGTCAGAAATGACTAAACACTTAATTAGATATCTCACAATAAGGTTACAATTAACAATAACTGTAATAATATAACTTTCTAAAAATACTTTGACTAAATTCTGTAATAATCTTATGACATTGGCAATGACTAAATGCTTAAATTGTAAAATTTATGATTAAATTTCTTATTACGACTAGCAATGACTGAACATTTAAACAATTAGAAAAAACTATTTTAACGTCAGAAATGACTAAACACTTAATTAGATATCTCACAATAAGGTTACAATTAACAATAACTGTAATAATATAACTTTCTAAAAATACTTTAACTAAATTGTGTAAGAATCTAATGATATTGACAATGATTAAACATTTAAATTTTTAAAATTTATGACTAAATATTTTATTACGACTAGCAATGACTAAACATTTAAACAATTAGAAAAAACTGTTTTAACGTCAGCAATGACTAAACACTTAATTAGATATCTCACAATAAGTTAACAATTAACAATAACAGTAATAATATAACTTTCTAAAAATACTGTGACTATATTGTGTAATAATCTAATGATATATTGGCAATGACTAAATGCTTAAATTGTAAAATTTATGATTAAATTTTTTATTACGACTAGCAATGACTGAACATTTAAACAATTAGAAAAAACTATTTTAACGTCAGCGATGTCTAAACACTTAATTAGATGTTAGATGTCTCACAATAAGTTAACAACTAACAATAACTGTTATAATATATTTTTCTAAAAATACTTTGACTAAAGAGTGTAATAATCTAATCATATTGGCAATGACTAAACGCTTAAATTTTGAAATATGACTAAATATTTAAACAATTAGAAAAAAAAACTGTTTTAACGTCAGCGATGACTAAACACTTAATTAGATGTCTCACAATAAGTTAACAACTAACAATAATTGTAATAATATAACTTTCTAAAAATACTTTGACTAAATTGTGTAATAATCTAACAATGTTTAAAAGCGCAAATTATAAGATTTGTGATCAATTTTATAATAAGATTACTGAGACTAGCGATGACTAAGCACTTAATTAGATGTCTAACAATAACTAAGTAGACTAAGAGTTCAGATACTTCAACTTATTTTCAAACGTCAAAAATAAACTTTTCGGTTAGATGTAATAAAAGAACAAGGAAATAAAGACTTGGAAATATTCTTTAATTTTAGAACGTAGTTCGACACTTCCTTTAGCTTCTTTTTTCTTTCCAAACATTCGATTCTGTTTTTTAGTGCTAGTTATCGAACAAAAATACATTTTATTTGTTCTACGAGAGTTCATTACATGCTTATAAATATAAACAAAAACCATTTCCTTTCAGACGAGAATTACTATGGCGACCATTTTGAAACTAATAAAACTGTATCGAATATTGGGTTTATTTATTTTTTAGTGTAGTATTCAATGCAATTATCTTATGCAGCTGTGTTTATGGTTAAATGTTTGTTGTTATACTGTTGCTGGGTTTTACGGAAAAATGGCGTTTAAGAGGTATGAGTTTTGAAAATATTTTAAATATTTCTTTTCCCCTTCCTTTAACAGTGTTTTGTACTAAGCTTTTTATATGCAAAATGAAATATCGAAAATTATTGCCTTTATTTTTGCAATAATTGGTCATTTATCATTTAAATGAAAGTAACTTGTTTGTCATAAAATAATATTGATTGTTAAAAAATGTAAAGCCATAATTCATTGTATAAATAATATGTATGTTTGCAGTTTCATAGCGTGAGGAAATTTAAGGGAAGTATCGTGAATTATTTAGCGTTTATATTACGGCAATAATCGATAGTTTTGTTTTTTATTAGTGCTATAACAATTCATAAAAAATTATTCCATAAAAATTTAATATATTATAATTTATTAATTGAAAAAATTTCGAATTTAAAATGTGAAACTTTATTGTAGTATTTTAAATCTCTTTACACAATATTTTTAAGGATGTCTTATAATTGAAGAAATTAAAGCTATTATAACTACAACCCACGATTTTTCTAAACTTGTGATTTTTTTCCATCTAACTTTTACTTAGTATTGTTTCTCTGTAGGTATATTCCAAGTTTTTGAGAAATATCCTCTAGATAATAGTATTATAATAGAGAGAAAAACCTCATTATTTGCATGCAAATTGTGGTATTTCTCACAAAATAAATAAACAAATATATGTATACATTTATTTATTTTTTTATTGCCCAGTACAGTTTTTACTGCAAGTACATGGAATTCATAAAATAAGTTCAAAATATCGAGAAAACATGGAAAAAAATAAAAAGAAATTTTTTTAAAAAAAAGAGTAGAAAAATTTTTTTTAAATAAAATATTCTTAAAAAATTTTAAAAATTGAAAAATAAACAAATAAATAAAAAGCCGAAAAACAGATCATGCAAAAGACACAATCTTACTATCAGCCCGCATGACTAAAGCTGCCAAAAGATTACCCTCCGATATTGCATCAATATAGCCAAAGCAAAACACGTCTATACAATAGTAATAATACACGTAATAATAATGACACATTGCCGTAAAAAGTTTAGGATTACATTTAAAGTTTAGAATATTATTTAATTACAAGTAAGGAAAATTTCTTAATTTTTATGAATAATAGATTCCCTTATTTAAGAGTATAGAAAATTTTCTTAATTAGGCAATTAAAAATTCCTTAAGTAAAAGGTACACTTTTAAAAAATTTTCGGAGAAAATGGCTGAATAAAAATTTATTAAATTGCTATTTTGCCATATTCAAACAAAACAGTCACACCATCATAAATAAGATGGTATTTTGACTGTTAATTCTGAGAAAAAAACCGTTTATTAGCTGCTTTCAACTAATACGGTTAAACAATCAAAATGTTATAGCACCACCTAATGAAGCTACTTAATTCCCAAATGACCCTGGATTATTAGAACACAATGCTCCATCCATGCATTATAAAACTTCTTAACACATAAAATCCAGTATCTCCCATCTCTTAAGATATGTAAAACAACCAGATAAACTAATTAAACCACATTCCACAGTTCATTTAATGAAACACAACTCAACCACAACCTCACTCCACTGCCCATTATCTAACGAAAAGTCTAACTTCTTGATGTCCAGTTAAATTTCTTTTTTACGGTTCTGAAAATCTAGCTAGTTGTAAATGGTTAAAAAATCGCATAGTTTTGTTTTCATGGTTTTTTAACCACACTAGATGTAAACTGTTTCAAAACCATAAAGGTAAAAAATTTTCTTTACCGTAAACTACACGGTTAATTAAATGGACAGACTACTGTTATTATACCGTAATTTTAGAATAAAAATTCTAACAGTGTAAATCAACTATAAAAACAGCCGCTTAATTTAAACTTAAATGTATTATTTATTCTTTCATCGATAAAAGAAAGTGAAATTATAAATTAAACTTTTTATTTGTAGAATAGTATTTTATTTTACGTTCGAGTTGCATTTTAATATTTACTTAATAGAATACTTTAGGGCAGTGTTTCCCAAAGTGTGGTACGCGTACCACCAGGGGTACGGGAACAGTTTAGCGGGAGTGCGTGTTCTTTTGAGAAATATCTTGCTTTCGAAACATTTTATTTAAAAACAAAGCTATCAATGAAAATTTACGATTAAGTATTTTTCTATTGGCTATTTTTTACAGAGTTATCAGTTAATAATTAGTGGTGTCAACAGACAGATGTAATTTTTACTTTTGTGCAATTTTTTTATAGTAAAAAATACATTCATTTATAATTAGTGGTACACAGCGTTACGAAAAATTTAGAAAAGGTACACAAAAGTCATAAGTTTGGGAAACACTGCTTTAAGGCAACCTTAAGTGAACGAAAGATGATAATATTTGAATTTTTTTTTTAATTAGGAAAAAATCTAAGAATAAAACCAAAATGTATACATTCGATAAGGGTTTAAAATTAACTATGGGCATTGTTTTTAATTCATAATTGAATGAAAAATATTTCCACGTGTGTCTATTACCATAATGAATGAACAATGTTATTGATCCCTTTGCAGGTCAAGGCACCATCAAGAATCAAAGAGGCGTGAATTGTGGAGAATTTAACAAGCTGTTTAGAATACTATGGCAACTGGAAATACAACAATAGTATTTTTAGAAATCTACAGATGGCAACAGCCTTACTTGCTTCTTTTAAGAATTCAAAAACATCGAGAATTGTAAATTATCGCTTGATCGTTTATTAATTTTTGAAAATTTGAACTATATTTTCTTTTTTTTCTTGCTTATGGAAATTTATTTTAACCGTGTAGGGGATTGGGGAGGGGGTTAGTATGGATATTTTTTACAAAATTGTGAAAAAAATACATAATTTTTAACTCGAGAAGTACTTTTCTTTCTAACTATAACCGAAACATTTTACTGCATTCTGGTTTATATCTATACTTAAAAGTAGTTTAGTTTATCCTTAATAATTCTTTTAGAAAAGGTTGTTTTGCCCACACTAAAGCCTTATTGGAGAATAAATATAGACGTATATTTATTGAAATACTAATTTGGTAATAGAGTATAACACTATACCAAGAAAGACCTCTTGAAGGCCAATCAATACATTTGAAAAACGTTATTCAATTTGGTTTATTTGATAAATATTTTCTTTTTCTTTTCTTTTTTTCTTTTAAAATTGAAATTTAATTTCTTTTTTTAAATCGAAAAGTCAACTTTAAATATATATTTAGGTGCAGTTCTGGTAGTTCTACCAGTCGAAGGAAATTAGGTAACGATTTCTTATGTGAGAAATAATTTTTTTTTTCTGGAGAAAGGAAAGGATTATGATTTGAAGAACGATAACAATATTTTTACCAGCATAATGCACAACTACTTTTTTCTTAATTATCATTATTTAAAAAACTGACTAGCACGAAATCGTTACCTTTTTTTTAATGGGTGTTCTCAAGAAATTTCTATTAATTTATGTCGATCATGAATAAAAAAAAATTTCTTGCCATTTAAATAAACGACATGTGATTTAAAAACGAAAAAAAAAAAATTTAAGTTGCTAACTTTTTAATTAAAAAATCCACTTAAGATATGTCCACATTATACCACCATTACTTTAGCCCTTTTAAGATATATGTTGGTGATTATGCCAAATGCTGATTAATTTCAACTATTAGAGCAAATAATAATGTAATAAACTGAATCATTTTACACATATTATAACACTCAGTCGAAGTTCTAAAAATAAAATATGTTAATAAAAAAGTAAAGAGGAAATTTTAGAGCTACTTTTGCACTTTAAAAACATTATTTTGCAAATTTCTATTTTAGTATTTACAGTACGATTAAGCAACTGCACATGGACGTGTGCAATATTGTTGCCAATTCACAACAACTCACAGAGGAGATCTTAACCAATAAATAAAGTTATTCAAGATGACCACTTTAGCCCCATGTCCACACTTGCCCTTCCCATTATGAAACATAATTTATTTATTTTTTTTTTTTTAAGAAAAGGAAGAAAAAGAAAAAAACATAAAAAAGGAAAAAATTTCTCATTTTGGAATGTCTTTTGAATAAAAAAATTAACAAAAATAAAATAATAAATAAATTAAAATCACTAACAAATAACAAAATACAATGCAACACACATACAATAGTAATGAGACCATTGCACTGTGAGAATTTCCGGCCTATAACTTTTACTTTCTATTTTACTACTTAAATTTAATGATATAAATCGGTTTTTCTCAGAATTCTTTTTACGAAGAAAAAGCAATGTAAAAGTAGTCAACATTTATTATAAAATATACCTTTCATTTACTATTTCAATTTAATATTTTTTTTTAAATATTCCTTATATTTAAAAAAATAATGTAAAAAAAAGTCCTTATGGAATATATATTTCATTTACTATTTAAATAATTACCTTGCATGTATTACCTAAATTTAAAAAGTTTTATAGAAAAAATATTCTTTGTAATTGAATTAAGTATTACAAAATTGTAAAGTGAGTCGTTACAATATATATATTCTATTTACTACTTAAATAATTACCTTTCATCCACATTTTAAATTAAAATAAACAAAATTTCTTTTTCAAAAGAAAAAAGAATTATACTTTCATTTTTAGTATATTTTTAAATTTGAACAAAGTAATGTAAAAGTAGCTACGTGATTTGTACAAAACATACTTTCCGTTTAATATTTAAATGCAATATTTATTTTAGAGGAAAGCATTTTAACAGGCTCTTTACATTTAAAAAAAGTAATTCAAAATTAGTAAAGAGATTACGATTATCTTCCATTTATTACTTAAATAGTTCTATAGTTCCTGTTTACTATTTAAATTTTATATAAAATGTCTTCTTTTTCAAAAAAAAAAAAAAAAAAANAAAAAAAAAAAAAAAAGAATTTAATAGTTTTTATGCTTAAAAAAATTATAAATAAGTAGCTGATTATTTTGTTATGAAATCTTCCATTTACAACTTACATTTAATACAGTTTGTAAAAATACTTTTAAATATTCTTTATAACTGAAATAGTATTATGAAATTGTTCTGTGATTCGTTATAAAATATATATTCCATTTACTACTTAAATAATTATCTTCCTCCTATCCACTATTTAAATTTAATAATACAAAATTGCTTTTTTCAGAAAAAAATATACATTTTTATAACTTTTTTAATTATTATTATTATTATTATTTATTTATTTTTTTGAACAAGGTAATGTTAAATAACTATGTAGTTTGTACAAAACATACCTTCCGTTTAATATTTAAATGCAATAGTTTTTAGAAAAAATATTTTAAAATGCTCTTTATATTTAAAAAAATAATATAAAAGTAGTTATGTGATTCATTATGATTACTTCCATTTATTACTTAAATACCATTCTATAGCTTTAATTTATATTTTATATAAATTGCCTTTTTTCTTTAAAAAAAAATAAGGTTTAGTTGTTTAAAAAGATAATAAACACGTAGCTGATTAATTTGTTATGAAATTTTATCTTCCATTTACAAAACTTAAATTTATTACGGTTTAAAAATATTTTTAAATAATCTTTATATTTAAAAAAAGGGTTATATAAAAGTAGTTATGTAATTCATAATTAAATACAAGTTTACTTTACTACCATTCCTTTCACTTGTTACTTAAATTTAATAAGTGGCTTTTTCAGAGAGAATTTTTTAATAGTTTTTATATTTTAAACAAAATACATAATACATAAGTAGCCGATTAATTTGTTATGTAATACAGCTTACATTTACAACCTAAATTTAATACTGTTTTTTGCTTAAAAGATATATATACCTTTAAACATTCTTTATTATTTTAAAAAAAAGTAATATAAAAATAATGTTATTCGTTATAAAATACAACTTCATTTTACTGTCATTCCTTTCATTTGCTATTTAAATTTAATAATGAAAGTGGCTTTTTTAGAGAAAATTTTTTAATAGTTTTTATATTTAAAAAATATAATACATAAGTAGCCGATTAATTTGTTATGTAATACAGCTTACATTTACAACCTAAATTTAATACTGTTTTTTGCTTAAAAGATATATATACCTTTAAACATTCTTTATTATTCTAAAAAAAAGTAATATAAAAATAATGTTATTCGTTATAAAATACAACTTCATTTTACTGTCATTCCTTTCATTTGCTATTTAAATTTAATAATGAAAGTGGCTTTTGCAGAGAAAATCTTTTAATAGTTTCTATATTTTAAACAAAATAATACATAAGTAGCCGATTAATTTGTTATGTAATATAGCTTCCATTTACAACTTAAATTTAACACTGTTTCTTGTTTTTTAAAAAAAAAATTATATTTTTAAACATTCTTCATTTAAAAAAAAAGTAATATAAAAATAATGCCATTTGTTATGAAATACAACTTCCCCTATTTAAACTTAATAATAGAAATGCCAATTTCAGAAGAAAATTTTTTTTTCTAATATTATTTATCTTTAAAAAAAGTTAAGTAACATTATAATTTAAAGATGCCTTACATTTATTACTTAAATTTAGTAATTTTTTACAAACAAAATAATTCTAATACTTTTTTTTAAGTAATATAATAGTAATTATGTGATTTTTTTAAGAACTATTCCTCCTAATTTTTCCAAAATATTGATTGATAATAATAAAAATTGATCAACACACAGATAAAACTGAGTACCCCAGGTGCCCGGACGCAAAAGAGGCCCCATGATACGATTCCACTTCAAAAACAAGAAAGTTCTTTGTTTCAAAAATGCATTTTCGACCACATAGCAACAGCGTATTCTTTAGCTATGAAGGACGCTGCTGCAGGGCTGGGCGTCCTTCATGTAAACGTCACAGTACAGCAGGCGGCATTAAAGCCCCTTTTATTAGGCCATCTGCCACATCCTTTGTAAGTATTCTTCCTTGCTCTAATGCATCTATACAGATCAGAGCACGGGCGGTACTGTACAGTGACCTATGTCGTTGAGGAGGGTAGGAATCCTGAATAGTACCGGTTAAGGGCCGGATATAGGAAACGTGCTTTTTAGGTTAATATTTTTTTAAAACATAATTTTTAAGCCATATTGAAACAAACTTTGAATATTGCCTTGAACTTGGCTAAACTGAATGGGAAAAGTACATTGAGAGAAAAAAGTATGGTAAAAGCAACCAGAATATGGTGAAATTTAATGGCATTTTAAATTTTGTAAGTTTTTCCTAAATAAATAATTTAAACATTGCATTTGGAGTTTTGTTTAAGTGATAAGGGGGCATTCAAATATTACGTAAACAACTGAAGGTGGGGGAGGGGGATTTTGTTATTTGCTTAATTTTGAATTATTGGGGGCAGGGGTATAAGCAGTGCTTATGTAAGACATTAAAACATAAATAAACTAAAATAAATAATGCATAAAAATCAATAAAAGACATAACAATATAGCAACAAAATAAGTTAATAAAATAAAAATAATTAAACTTTGTAAGTTTTTCCTAAATTAATAAATACTAAATTTCCTAAAATAATAATGACATTGTTTTTAGAATTTTGCGTAGGTGATAAGGGGCCATTCAATACTATACGTAAGCAGCTGGAGGAGAGGGAGATTGTAATTTGCTGATTTTTGATGACAGGGGGGAAGGGGTATGAGCACTGTACATAAATGAATTAAAATAAATGAAACATAAAAAGTAATTACAGACGTTATAACAATATATCAACAAAATAAAGCAATAAAATAGAAATAATTAAATTTCTTTGAAGTATTTTGAACACAAAACATTCCTAAAGAATATTCTAGTCAAAATTTTATAAAATGAATTAAAGCATAAAATTTGTTTATTGCAAAGTTACATAACTTTAATTGAATTTAATCCGAAA